CAAACTATTGAGATCATTTCAGCTTCAAAAGAGGGGCCATTCTGCTCTCTGGAAAGGGATAGCTAACATTATAAATGAATAAGTTGGCATTTGTGTATACCTCATTCTAGTGTGGATTTAGTGAATTTGAGTCTGTCACCAAGAAACCTATGAACTCTGAACTGGCAAAACTGTAGAAAAATTATGACACCCTTTCAAGGTACCAAATGAAGAGGCCCTGATAACAAACAGCCAGAACTCCTCAGATACTTTCACTGATATTCTCACATGATAGAGCTTTTTAAATAAACATTTGTTCAAATCTAAACTGAGTAATAATGTGTTACTAGAGTACTTGATTCAAGAAGATACTGACAGGTATAGCAGGATATAGTGATCAGAGTAGGGCTGACTTCTCTTACCAGTGCCAGACCCCTTCTCCCATACCTGTGGCCCCCTAGAGTCCCCAGCACCTTGGAAGAGGCACAGAAAAGTTGCTCCACAGAATCTCAGAAATTGTACTGACCACACAGTGCCTATCATACAAAAAAAAAAAGGCAGACAATACTTCAGTGCCAAGAAAGGTAAGCAACACTCCAGTGAAGCTGGAATCAGAGGGGTAAGCTCTCACACAGAGCCCCTAACAACCTTCACAAAATCTCCTCCAAATTTTGCCTTCACTCTTTCTACCACCAGGGAACAAAAGGGGAAAAGAGGCAGGAGTTCCTGGCATTCATTTTATCCTTGTCATGATTCTGAATTCCCACAGTCCACTGAACTATCCCAGCCTTTTCTGTTTCAAATTTGACTTTGAATTTGAAATTCTAAATCGCCTAATGGATACAAATGATAGGCATTCAATGAAATGATGCCATGGAAAAATATTGTCAGATTCTCACTTTAAACACAAAGGAAATTTAAAACTATTAGGCCTCCTTGTGATTAATATCAGGCCTCTTTAACCTCAGAGTTATTGAACCTTCATTAACTAATAGTCCTTAATAAAACAGTGAAGGCTCCAAGGAAAGTGGTACAGATTCAATCCAAACAGATGTCATTGAAGGTGCTTTGAACTCAGCAAAGAAAGTAATAGTAATTGTGGTATTAATGGAAGTTATGGTGATTGCAACTTGAATTTGGAAGGAAAATATTTGGCTTTGCATTTCACAGTCGCTTATAGGACATTTGCTGAACCTGTTTTGGAAAGTAGTAAGGAAGGGGGCTTGAGGAGAGATGCTGGGCATTGGGGGAGAGCAGGCAGATACCACATAGAAGGATTAACAGGACACATCAAGCCCCCAAATCACAGGAGCAAAGGATGAATTGCAGAGATATGAAGGGCATTGGTCAGGCTTTCCGCCTAGATAATAGCTGGAACAATGGGAAGAGAAGGCTTGACAATGAGGTTCGATTAGGCCAGAGAACAGTGTTGTAGGATTAAGGATTAGAGAGAACTGGGTAGAGTTCCGGAAGAAAGGGGGATACAGGAAATTTAGAGCTCAGGGTGGGAAATATTCCAGGTGATTAGGCAAAAGCCCATCTGAGAGTGTTGCCTCTAGAGAAAATTCTAGGAAACTTAGCAGGAAAGGGAGTAAAAACCACAAAAACCACCCCATTGAGACTCAAATTAACAGAGAAATTATTGAAAAACAGTAATTTCTAACCCCACCCCTAAGTACGTATATGCCTTCTATGAACTGTGCTGGTTTGTAGCCCACAAATTCCAGCAGGACAAGGGCCATGACTTCTTCCTGCAGTGCCACGGATTTGGGAATGACAGCTGGCAATCAGCTGGCTCCCATCAATAAACCGTAGGGAAGCAGAGACAGTGGTAAAGCTGGCTTAAAACCTTGCTAGGTTCCTTGATTTCTCTGTTTTACCAACACAACCAAGCCATTAAGTGTTCTTGCTTCTTTCCTTGTCACATCTTTTGGCATCTCCCCATTCACTGCCACCATCCACTATAATCACCTTCACAAGCCATGCCCAGGTCTCCCTCACTAAGTGCTCTTCAACCCAAACCCTCATTATGTCTCACAAGCCATTCTTCTGAAAATACTGTGTCCCCACCTTTCCTCCACCCCATCCCTCAGCCTTGATGCTTAAAAATACAGGTTGGTCATCATTGTTAAGATAAAATCTACTATCACCCTGAATTATGAATGGTAGCAATCTGTCCTAGTAGAGAAACTAATGAAACCTTATCACACTTTAGCCACAAGACTCATCTCTCCATTACCCTGGCCCCTGACTATCTAGTTGTAGAAGAGCCACTAGGTGGACTTCCCACCTTCTAGAAGGAACTCCAACATCCAGGAAGACTTCTCCCCCATTATTGAGGCAGCCTGCTTCCCCACAAGGCCAGAAGAACCTCTCATCAGTTAGCAAGTCCTTTCCACCAACCACATAGCTCCTTACTCCCTCCCCAGATGGGGGAAGGAATACCTTAATAATCCATGGGACCCTTCACTTTCTACCTGAATCCCTCTGCCTGGAACTTTGTCATACCAGGTACTGGAGCCTATTGGTGTAGCTGTACCCACCCACCCAAATGCCCTGTTTCACCTCTGAGTAAATGCTTTAGGACCATACTAGCACCCAACTCCACACTTAAGTACTAGAAACGAAATCTCTATCACCTCAGAAGCCAAGAACTCTCTAGTCATTTATTATTCCCAGACTCTGTTCATCTCCCCACTTGCCCAAGTCCCTACTTCTCCCTTTCCCCAGTTCTCCCTCTCTTTGCCATCTTAGTCCCATATTCAGCAACCACCCCTCCCAGGATCCTCAACCTGGAATTCTCCCTAGGGATGCCACACCCTCTGTACCTCTCTAAAAGGGAGTTCTTTGTTCTCACTCTTGGCCTGTGAGTTCTCAGACATGCTCATCCTGATGACCTTTTATCCCATCTCCTTTCTGGTCACCTCAAGCCACACTCACACTGGAGCTCATCATCCCTAAACCTGCACTGCTCCCCAGTAAGAATCCGAGCATTCCCACAGCACTGAGCAAAAAAGTAAACACTATCTACAGGGCTCATTAGGACTGTCCTCTGCCTACTTCTCAATGTCATCTCTGCCTCTTCTGCTCACTTTATTGTGACTACATGGGCCTTCTTCCAGCTCTGCAGAAAATACAAAGTTCTTTCCTGACCTGGGACTTTTGTACCTGGCATCCCTTTGCCTGAAATGCCTTTTCTTGGCTCTTTGCACGGGTGACTCTTCTCATCCTCAGGTATCAGCTAAACCTTAATTCCTTCCCAAGTAAGGCCCTGGGAAGCAGGCTTTCCTCCTCCATTTTTCTCTATCACAGAATGCTACTTGTTTCCTGAGATAACTACACCTTCATTTCTCAGTAACTGAGTTTAGTTTCCATTTTGAGCTATCATCCCAGTGGTGGGAGAAATAATACTAATCTTCTTGGGGTTTCCATCCCTCTCTCCCTGACTCCAAGTTCTGGAGAGCTTACAAAGTGGTGAGGTATGCAGTGGTGGATAGGAGTGGGGTGAGGTATAGTCTGGTCCTCTGTGTCTGGCACCCATTGAGAGAACCTCACTCTCGTGAAGTCTTTGGTCCTTCAGAGTTACTGTGGCATCTTCTTGGGTTGTTCCAGAAGCATTGTAATTACATGACTGTAAATCTCTCCATATACCTGTCTTGGTTTCCCCAAGGCCTGACACCGGCTGGACTATAATGGATGCTCACGAAATACTGGAACTGAATCAACTCATCCCTGAGGCCTCTGAGCCACCAATGAAACCTGAAAGGAAGTTGGATATTCATGCTAACTCTGAGGCCCTTTGCCAGGATTCTTAGCTTCATATGTCATTTAGATTCCTTGAAAGAATGAGAGTCACTGCTATGTATGTATAGTTTACAAATGGCAGCAACTTCTATTCTTCTAAAAATTTAGAGACACAGAGGTCTTAGAAACCATTACATATGGGGCACCTGGGAGGTTCAGTCAGTTGAGCGTCCGACTTCAGCTCAGGCCATGATCTCGTGGTTCATGGGTTCAAGCCCTGTGTCAGGCTCTGTGCTAACAGCTCAGAGTCTGAAGCCTGCTTGGGATTCTGTGTCTCCCTCTCTCCCTGCCCCTCCCCTGCTTGTGCTCTGTTTTTCTGTCCTTCTAAAAGAAAGAAAGAAAGAAGGAAGGAAGGAAGGAAGGAAGGAAGGAAGAGCGAGCAAGAAAGAAACCACATTTAACATGCTTATTTTATAGATGAGTAAGGTAAGATCCAGAGAAAGAAAGTGAATTGCCCAAAGTCATAAAACATGTTATAAGATTAGGACTAGAACCCAAGTCACTTAATGTCAGGTACTTTGTCCTTCGACAACACAATGCAGAGTATACCACATCAGACCCATGAACCACATTGATTCCATGCACCAAGTCAAGCCTGTGTGCAGCCTTGGTTCCATTTCCATTAGCTTAATTTTCAATGTTGGCTACAGATATTTGTTGGTTACATGTACCACTTTGATTGTCTACATCATCTTGGCCTTCTACCATGTCCATGTACCATGTCACCTACAATTACCATGTTTCATGTTGATTACATGTATTATATTCATTCCAGTGCCATTGTGTTAGATAATGTTATCACCCCCATTATTGCCACTCTCACTATAGAAGACTTATATATCCATACCCATTGCCATATGACATGTTATTTTTCTGTAGGAAGAAGATACTTCCTGTCCTTTTCCTATTGGGCTTGACCATATCATTTGCTTTGGCCAATAGGATATCAGCAAAGAGATCTGTGTCACTTCTGAGCAGAAACTTTAAGAGTTTTTATGTGCCTTTCTCTCTGTCATAAGAATGGGATATTCCAGATAGAGCCTCCTTTTTCAGATTGAATCCAAGAATCCAATGGCAGAAGGCCACAGTCCACATACAACTGACATGGAAGATGAGCAATAAATGAACTTCTGCTGTTGTAAGCCACTAAGATTATGCAGCTGTTTGTCATTGCACCACAATGTAGCAAGTTCGTCAAGATTGTCATGTTGGTTTCACGTACCATATTTGTTCCACTGACCAAGTGCTATATTGGTTCCAATGCACAATGTTGTTTGCACACCTTATAAATGCTCTGCCTTTCTTTAGCATTGGACATTCTACCTCAGGCCTCTCCTGTCTCCCAATTCACCAGGGCACCCTACCCCACCCCATCACTTTGAGAAAAGCCCCCTTGATGTCTTTGTTCCTCAAACTGTAGACCACAGGGTTGAGAAAGGCAGGGAAGACATTATAAAAGAGTGAGATCTGCTTGTCTTGCTCAGGGGAATAGCTGGAGTTGGGCCTCATATAGATGTATGTGGCTGGGGCATAGAAGAGTGTGACCACAGTCACATGGGAAGCACAGGTGGAGAAAGCCTTGCAGCGGCCCTGTGTAGACTTGATCTTGATAATGGTCTGGCCAATACGGATGTAGGAGGCCAGAATGAGGGAGAGTGGGGCAACAACCATGAAGACACTGATGACCAGGTCTACCATCTCAATAAGGTGAGTATCCATGCAAGCCAGGCTTCGTACTGAGGGGCCTTCACAGAAGTAGTGGTTGACCACGTTGGGCCCACAGTATGGCAGCCTCATGGTGAGGAAAGTATGGATCAGAGAGAAGAAGAAACCACAGGCCCAGGTCCCAGCTGCCAGTCGTATGCACAGGCCCCAGCTGAGGATGACAGTATAATGCAGTGGGTGGCAGATGGCCACATATCGGTCATAAGCCATGACTACGAAGAAAATACACTCAGTTAGGCCCAAGGCACCAAACACATACATCTGCAGCCAACAGCTGGCAAAGGAGATGGTCTGAGAGCGAGCGAGGAGATGCACCAACATCTGGGGCATGGTAGTGGTGACACAGCCCATATCTAGCAGGGAGAGGATGCAGAGGAAGAAGTACATGGGTGTGTGAAGCTGTATGTCCAGGCAGATCAGGGCGACGATGAGTCCATTGCCCAGGACTGAGCTCAGGTAAAGGAGAAGGAAGGAAATGAAGAGGATCCTGTTGAACGTGGGATCACCAGAGAAGCCAAGCAGGATAAATTCAGAAACCCAGCTTTGGTTCTGTCCTGGAGGTGTCCACATGGTGGGGCCTATAAGAGAATCCCACTCATTTAAATGTCACCCAAACTGTGGTAGTCTAGCAAGAATGTCAGCTCTGGAGGCAGGGATTTTAATTCTGGCCCCATTACTCAGCCACTGTCTTGAACAGGTTATTTAACATCTTTGAGCTTCAATCTCCTCAACTGTATAATGTAGCTAATAATACTCAACTCTTGGTTCTTATGAGGAGTCGAGGCAATATGCATGAAGCATCTGACATAACACCTTAACAAAATAAAAAATGGTAAAGTGCTCATATGCAATCTCCCCTGTCTTACTCCCCATCCTTCGGCAGACAGACTGGTTATCCAAGTCTAGCAGCAATCAATTACGCCATGTCAGCTCCAGCTCCCAAACCTTTAGAGGTGAAGTTCTTTCCGCCTTAGAGACCATTTGTCTAGAAGAGCTGCTACAAGCCTCTCCTCACTCTGCAAACTTCTTTTGCCAGCTGTCAATGTGAGGCTTTGTCAATAGAGGGCGCTAGAGGGGCACTGTGATGTGCTAACCCTAGGAAAGTACTTTGGTTGGGGCTTCAGTCACTCAGCTTGAGAGCCAGTGGGCTGGTGCATGGAAGGGCCAGTAGTACGCACTTCAAATGACCTCCACGCACCAGCTACAGTCGTACATTCAGCCCACACTCTTCCCACCCAGTTGTCATTTCTATGCAAACTCTGGCCTCTGCCCACCAGCAGCTGACTGTATTCCTATGGTAGCCACACTATCTTTGAAAAAGTCTGAATTTAAACTTTCTTTTTTTGTTTAACTTTTTTTTTTACACTTTATTTTCAGAGAGAGAGAGAGAGAGAGAGAGAGAGAGAGCAGAGAAAGGGCAGAGAGAGAGGGAGAGAGAGAATCCCAAGCAGCCTCCGCGCTTTGAGTGCATAGCTTGATGCGGGGCTAGCTCCCACTAGCCGTGAGCCGATACCAAGAGCCAGATGCTGGGGCGCCTGGGTGGCTCAGTCAGTTAAGCATCTGACTTCAGCTCAGGTCATGACCTCCAGGTTCAGGTTCGTGGGTTCCAGCCCCGCATCAGGCTCTGTGCTGACAGCTTGAAGCCTGGAACCTGCTTCGGATTCTGTGTCTTCCTCTCTCTGCCCCCTCCCCCACTCACACTCTGTCTCTCTCAAAAATAAATAAGTACTAAAAAATTAAAAAAAAAAAAAAAGAGTCAGATGCTCAACCGACTGAGCCACCCAAGTGCCTTTTTTTTTTTTTTGACCCGGGTGGGGGTGCCAGGAGAAGGGGGAGGGAGAGAGAGATGTCCTAAATCCTTAGTCCCTTCAATGTTTCAATGTGTACTCTCTTTGAACCATGAGGTAGTAACTGCTTTTTTTTTTCTCACTTAATACTTCTGGATGTCTTTCATCCTTTTTAGTAGTTACTCACCTTTTACTAGTTAGTAATTCTTTGTATTACATTTTCCCTGTTCACATTACTGGTGTGCTGTCTCCTGATGACATCCTGACTGGTATAGATGCTGAATCTATGGCAAGTGAGTCTGATAAGAAATAGACTGTTGCACAGTTAAAGCTATCTATCCATAAAGAATTTATTAACTATAGAAGTAAAAAGTAGTAGCTATCAGTGGAGAAACTGGACAATATCTTAACCGAGTGATTAATTACAATTAACATCACCAATAAGGAACAGGTAGAGAGGCTCCTGGTGGCTCAGTCAGTTAAGTGTCTAATTTCAGCTCAGGTCATGATCTCCAGGTTCATGGGTTCGAGCCCTGTGTCGGGCTCTGGGCTGATAGCTCAGAGCCTGGAGCCTGCTCCAGATTTTGTGTCTCCCTCTGTCTGCCCCTCCCCTGCATGCACTCTGTCTCTCAAAACTGAATACACGTTAAAAAAAAATTTTTTTTTAAAGAAATAGGTAGACACAATGTGTCTCCATATTTGAAATCCTAACAATATAGCATCTATATGTTATTTCAGCCCAAAATGAATCTAATCATAAGGAAACATCCAAGAAACTTAAATTGAGGGATATTATATAAAATAACTAGCTTTTAATCTTCAAAAATATCTACATCATGAAAGACAAAGAAACGCTGAGAATCTATAGTGGAAGGAAGGATCCTGAAAAAAAAAGCATAACAATTAATGCAAGAAGTAATCCTGGAAGGGAGGAATGTCATAAATAACATTATTGTGACAATTGATAAAATTGGATTAGATCAATGCATCATGTTAAATTCCCTGAATTTGACAGCTACTGTATAAGAGAGTATTCTTTTATTCTCGGGAACTATTCACTGAAGTATTAAGGGCTAAAGGAACACGATATTTGCAAATTATTCTCAAATAGTTCTCGAGATTATAATAACAGCAATATGACAAATTGTTAAAAATTAATAAATCTGGATATGGGCCATACAGGATTTCTTTATAGTATCCTTTCAGTTTTTCTGTAAGTTTAAAGTTAGTTCAAAAAATTTTTCAAAAATAAAAAATTGGGGGCACCTGTGTAGCTTGGTTGGTTGAGCATCTGACCCTTGATTTCAGCTCAGGTCATGATCCCAGTGTCGTGAGAACAAACCCTGTGTCGGACTCCGTGCCAAGTGTGGAGTCTGCTTAAGATTTTCTCTCTCTCTCTCTCTCTCTCTCTCTCTCTCTCTCTCAGAAATAAATAAATACATAAATACATGAATAAATATTTTTAAAAGAAAAAAGTTAAAAAATTTTAAATGTGAAATAACTTTTTCAGACAAACAAAACATAAGATTCTTCAGGTAGAAAGACAGTGACAGAAACATGAAGATGCAAAAAAGAATGACAAGTCCTCAAGGAATGGGTAAGTATAAATTAATAACGAATGTAAAACAATAATAAAGTCTGGTGGAATTTATTTTGTTAATATTTATTTATTTATTTTGAGAGAGAGAGAAAGAGAGCACATGTGGGGGGAGGGGGAGAGAGAGAAGGGGAGAGAGAATCCCAAGCAGGTTCTGAGCTGTCATCAGCATGGAGCTGGACTCGGGGCCCAATCCCACCACCCGGGCACCCCTGTCACGATCTTTGTCTTTAATTCCTTTTAAATTTCACAATGGGGCGCCCGGGTGGTTTAGTGTGTTGAGCATCCAACTCTTGATTTCTGCTCAGGTCATAATCCCAGGATCGTGGGATTGAGCCCCGGCTCCACCTTTGTGCTGAGTGGAGCTTGCTGAAGATTTGCTCTCTCTCTCTCTCTCTCTCTCTCTCTCTCTCTCTCTCTCTGTCTCTCTCTGCCCCCTCCCCCACTCACACACACACTCTCTCTCAAGTTAATTAATAAAATAAAATGATTGTTTTAAAAAAAGATCATGACAACAATAACATAAGAAATGGAGTAAGTAAAGAAATGGGTAAAGAAGGTCAGAGTTCTAAACATTTAACATAATTGGAAAATTGGTAAAACTAATCATTTGTGTTAGACTTTGATAAGTCAAGATTCATGTTGTGGTATCTATGGAAATCATTAAAAGAATAAATCATGCATTACCTAAAGTAGTAGAAAATGGACTAATAAAAATTGTTTACTAATCCAAAATAATGCTTTTTTGAGAGAGGGAAAAATCAAACAGAAAACAGGTGGGCCAAATACAAAATAAGTGGAGGGGCACCTGGCTGGCTCAGGTGGTGGAGAAAGTCTTGATCTTGGGGCTGTGGGTTCAAGTTCCACATTGGGTGTGAAGATTACTTAAAAATAAAATCTTTTTTTTTTTAAAGGTAAGAAGTGGAAAGAGGGTAAATATGAACTTAAATATTTCGGTAGTTACGTTAAATGCAAAAGGACTACATATTTTAATAAAAGTCCTGTTTTCAAACTGAGTTAAAAAAAAAAAACCCTACATGTTGCTTACAAGAAATGTACCTTAATCATTTTACAATATTTCAATGGATCAAATCAATGAATTGTACACCTTAAACTTACACAATGTTATGTCAATTATATGTCAATAATGCTGGGATGGAGGAGAGAAACACATCTTAATACAAGGACACAGATGCACTAGGAAGAAAGAATGAAAAAAATATATATACCATGCAAATACTAACCAAAAGAAACGTGTAGCTTCATGAAACATTTATCAAAATTGACCATATGCTGCACCATAAATGTAAGCTCCAAAAATCCAAAGGATGGAAGTCATTTCAAGTATATTCTCTGATTACCATAAAATTGGCCAGAAATCAATTTCAAAATAAATATAATAGGAAGCACTGTCTTTCCCCTCCTGAAAATCCTTTAAGGGTTCCCCATGCCCCATCACTTTAGACAGATGCACAGTGCCCTTCCTGAACATCTGCCCCCTTGCAGACTTCTTTAGCCTCAGCACCCAACCCTCTCCCCGTGCCATCGCCTTCCATACTAGCACAGGCTCCATACAGGTATGCCCGATTTCCTATATGTGTCTACCTCCGTCACACTTTCATGCCTTCTCCAAGGTCTTCAGCATGGAGGAGCACCCCAGCTGCATCCCTGCTGCCCACACACTCTCTGTAGCATGTCCAACGTCTATTCCTGCATTAGGACTCAGCTCAGCTCAGAAGCTTCCCCTGACCCGCACCACCATCTCCCACTCCAAAACCTCGATTAGATGCTGCCTCTATTTCTCCCAGGCCCCTATGCTTACCAACGAGTTATCACCCTAGCAATTCTAGGGGGTTCTCATATGCAGTTTGAGGAAATCTTTCTCCCTCTCCTGTTAATTCCCACTAACTGAATTGGAATATCTGTAATAAAGTGTGGATATGTGGGAGAATTTATAAGGTCCCTTTCAATAACAATAATATATAATATTTAATTAATAATTTCTGTGTGCTAGGAATTGTTACACTAACTTGTCCTCACAACAAATCACTGAGGTAAGTACAATGACCTCTATTTTACAGAGGAAAAAATAAAGGCACAGAGAGAGTAAATGATTCAATCTAGATAACTTGGTTTGTGCAGTGGACCTGGGGTTTGAATGGAGGTGATGTGGCTTCAGAGCCAACTGTGAATTATTAACTTCACCACTTCCAGCAAACAGGCCCTAAGCGGGAAGGGTGAAGAACAAACTTTCTCATCTACACATCGATTTGATCTTGAGGTTTGGCATGAGCTACTATGGAATCGTGGCTGATGAGGTACAGCCAGCCACCAGACAGGACCAGATCAAAATCTTCCGAGGGCAAAGGGCTAAAGTTGCAGCCATGAACTCTCTCTCATGATAAAGCTCCCTCCATCTATGCCATCATCTGGGTATGAGGAGCCATAGGACTGAGTGGGAAGCAGAGGGAATCAATGAAAGAGGATTTTGGAAAGTATTACCACTCTAGAATTTAGTAAATCTTTGTAGAGAGAAGAAACACTTGGTTTCCATGGGATGGGGGCATCATTTAGTTAAATTCTTCTAAAAGTCTGTCAGCCCAGCAGACTCTGTCTTAATAGGCAATACCCAAGCCTGGGGAGAGCATGGGGGTGGGTCCTGGTAATCATGGAAAGCCCTGCCATTCTTGAAGGCTTCTCCCAAGACAACCATCATTGTCCTTTCACAGTTGTGTGTCTCAGCCAGACTTGAAGATCTTTGAGCTCAGGAAATTGTATTCTTCATTGCACTGTTTCTAGCCCCTAGAACATGGCCTGACGCAGGAGAACAATGAACAAATATGTATTAAATGGGTAAGTGAAAGAAAGAAGGGG